TGAAAGGACCGAACACTTGTCAAAATGTAACATTGAGGTTAGGAAAGAAACGAAGACGTGAACAATTCTCAGATGAAGGGGCCTCAACTACAAAATGAGATAATAGGTGGCGGGTTACGTATAAACCATAGAGAAAATCTTCAGGTAGTTAAACTAGAAATATGTCTACCCTTGTTTAGTGTTTACGATTATTGCAGGGTCACGGCAGTTCCTACAAGGTTTGGACAAAATTCTGAGGCAAGAGTATGATTTCAAATTAAACCCGTAACAAGATTAGAAGGACGAAGAATGTCTCCATTAATAGAAAACTGTACTTCTATTCTTTTTCTCTTTAGATCTTGGTTTCTGACCAATTCTCCTCCTACTCCAAGCACATTAAGTCAATTTCCTCGTGTGTTAGCAACATTAAAGGTACGAAGCGACCATATGATACAATACAAAAATAAGATTGTAGCTCTAACCATTTCCGAGATCCATCAAATTTTATTAACAATCAGCTGTTGTACCTTCTAGAAATGTATTTATTGTTAAACAACGACAAAATAAGTGAAAACTGGTGAACTTAAATATGTGAGGACCTATTAGTTATTATATTTATTATTTATTTCCATATATCATTTTGCGATATGCATATTAATCAGATGATCTAATGTCATTAATAAGGAATCTTCTGCGATTTTAGTCGTTTCTGTGAGTCTATCATAGTATGACTTTAACTAACACTGTTTGGCATTTTCAAAGTTTGAAGGCATCCTTACATTTTACTGTCTAAGGACCATATTACAGAGTCTTATTGAAACCAGTACTGTAATATTTAACATTAATTTTTCTCAACTTGCTGATTGATGACGATTTGGTCAGTAGGTCTGTAATGACAACTACCCAACTTTCGTATAAAACATGCTTTAGTCAGAAGATCAGTTTATATAATACGAACAGAAACAGTGTTTGTATATCTTTTTATATAAAAAACTCAATAAATAAACTGTTGTACTTTAGTTCATTTAAATTACCGTATTTTCAATCTGACTTTCCCATATAGTCGAGACCGTCTAAGCTAGAGACTCATATATGGGGTGTTTGGTATTTTACTTGGCGGCAAGTGGGTTGACCCTGCATTTCGTATGCAACGCTGTAGTCAATTCATAAATGATTGTGTTCAAGGCAATTTAAAACCTCTGAGGAGAACGTCAGTTATGGACATGTACAACAGAAAAGCTAAACGTATTAAATCCGCCAAACAGATCCGTACAATTAGTCCATAGACATTCTTTTCCTGTCCTACCGGTAGTTACCGTCCATGTGGCAACGTTCTCTTTCCACATCATCGCGCATCGCTGCTGCGAGTTACCTTTCGTTTCGTGAAAGGTCCCTGCATGTATCTTTTGCGCTTTAGTACGGATAGATATATCATGTGGCTTGGGTGTCATGTAAAAAAACCTATAACACATAAAAAAAACATATACGATGTCATCTTGCAAGTAGGTAGTTTTTAGGGCGCAAACAGTCATTCCACGTTTGCTCACTAGGATCGTTGTGAACGTCCATCTAAGGAAGAATCACTCAACTAAACTAAACGCATTATTGGTTGCATTTGTTTTGTGAGTGAGGCCAAATGGTTCTTCTCGGTAGTCTTTACCTCTGAGAAGAAGTGGTTGAATAGCAAGATTGCATCTGGATGATTATTTCTTTGTTTGCACGTGTATAAAATCAGTGATCTTTGTTGTGTACCCGACGGGTTATTTTTATGTTTGCTTTCTGAAGAGAGGTTATGTTTAAAGTTATAAATGACGAAAACTGAGGAGAATTACGGGAAATTATCACCGCGCCTGCGTTGTGTGTAATTACTGTTAGCATGTAATTCGACAGTGTACAGTGGAATCTAATTATTTCTTATCGTTCTCATTTTTTTAAATTCAGCAAATTTGTATATGTAATTTCCAGAACGATATGAAAAAGTGGATGCGCAGCTAGCTTTGAATCTCAATTGAGTGTATTTGAGACAGGAACCCAATGTAATTATCATCAACACATACAGTTTACAGCTTAGACCTCCCAGTAATGCCATCTCAGAAGCAGATTTTACATCTCATCAGAGCCAAAGATTGATAACAAGCCTCATGACGTTCAGGCAACACGTACAACTGAGTGCTAAGTTAACATCTTGTAGAAAACCTACATAATGTAAAAAAACAGCATAATGTCAAAAAATCACTATTCAAGTTACGTGATACCCATGCCGTTCGCCAGGCGATGGGCCTAGATAGACAGGAGTACCCAGATCTACCTCTCAAGTTTTAAAGACAAATGTACGCGTAGATCTATGATGTGTGAGGTATGGCTAATAGGAGCATAGAATAATCCCTAGAAACTTTTTAAGTTATAATTACGTTGATTCGCCCACAGAATAGGTTAAAAATATTGCATGACCAATTTATAACGGGTTACTTCCAAGTTATTTATTTATTACTTATGGGTCGAAGGATACAAATAACTATTCAGGTTATTTTGTGGTAAAATCCTAGTAATTTTACCATATTAAATCACATGCTTATACATACAGTTGATAATCTATTGCTTAAAAATAAGCTTAGCTATGATTCAACTCTCAAGGCAATTCAACTTTTGAGGAGATCATTCGAAGATATGATTACTAAAATTTGACAAATATAGGTAACTATTACTTGAGTGATAGCCCATTTAAGCAAAATGCTAGTTGGGACCGGGATTGGGAGGGTATACTAAGGTATACTAAGATCAAAAAGATTTTATATATCCTCCCCCACCTCCTACAACCCCCAAATCCCAATCCCTATAAAACAATTCTTATGATGAGAGCTCTATGAAACCTCAAAAAACGACGTTTCAGCGATTTTGCTTTTTTATGTTCTTGGCCCCTCCCTCCGCCACTGGACCGATTTGCAAATACTACTAAGCTTCTACGTTCCTGGCAAAGTAGTAACATCGTGTGAAGGTTTCATTGAAATCCGAGCGGTACTTCTCAGGTTATAGGCGGTTATAAGATCAGCGGACAAATCGACAGATAGACAGTCCGACAGAAGTGAGTGACATGGTTTTTCGTGTTGTACATGTCATATAACACCTAAAAAACATAATATCTCATTTTACAAACATTTTTGCGACTACACAACTTCCCCGCCAGTAGGTGTGGTAAGTAAAATGCGCTTTCTTATCCAGCTTGATGTGTTCTTATGACTTCACCGATTATTTTTATCACCAAAGTACTCGTATCATCATCTCAGCTGCCAACGAATATTGAAGCCAATTATAATCGAGCTTACAGGATTTAGCACCTGTTAGCTTCAATGAGGTGATTTGTTAGAAAGCTGCTTCTTTATCATGACACTGACACACTTACTTTTATCAACTAGAGAGTCACTTTCTATGTATAAAAACCGCTACAGACATCGAGTTCTCCTTAATTGTCCAAATCTTTTAATTGCAAATTCGCATCATTTAAATGATTTTTCCATTCAATGAGCGCTCACATGAAGAAAATTCTCATACAGTGTCCACCTGTATTTTGTAACCGTAATCAGCGCCCCACGCCCCAACTTTCATATGACGACAGGACAGTAAACAAGGTTACCTCAAGGCAAATAGGGCTTTGGACAACCAGAGTCATTCGTCCCTTCGCCCTGCATTCACTCTGTCGCATCACTCCACCTAACGAACAATGATCAAAGAGCCGACCAAACTGAATTTGGCCGCCGATGTTACCTTGGGTTACTATGGCCAGGCAGCGTAATTCGATTAGCATAGTTTGACTCTGCTATGCTTGGTCGTAGCGAAAAGATACAAGGAGTGAGAAACAGACTGACACAAATTATTTGCTACACAAATTCAAACTTCCCAGACGTACAAATCTCGTGTTGATTCTTTTTGAATATCCAATTCCAACTGATTTATTTTCAAGTGAGACTCAATAGTTGCAATAAAGTGTGGGGTCAGTGGAAGGGTCAGCTGTTTTCTTAGACCGCATGCGTCTGATCAAGATATCTTTTTCATCTTTTGACTGTAAAACGGGTACTAGATACATCATAAAGCCGCACTTAAATCACTTCATCGGATTGGCAGTTCTTGCAACTAAGGCTTAACTATCATACAAAAAATGCCGTCAAGTAGGTTGACTTTGCAATTCGACGCAATGCTGATATCTGTTCATAAAGGTCATCTATGGCACACGTTAAACTCTCTTATCTCATACGAGGGTCGTCTTTTAAGTTTTGCATATAAAAAGATAGTAGGCCGCGCGGATCGAACGTCAGTACTGAATCTTAACCTCACTCTTTAGTAAGCTTAAATTCAAAGTTTCACAACAATACGTGCAGTGTTCTCACTACAGTGAATTTTTTAGTGTCACCAAGTCATTAGAAAAATGGAACTCAACCGAGGACATTTTCGCGCCATAATTTATTACAACTTTCAGAGAAAATTATCGCAACAAGAATGCATTGCTGAGTTTGTCTGTTTTCGGCAACGAAGCTCCACTTCAGTCAACAATTTCCCGTTGGTATGGAGAATTCAAACGTGGACGGGTGAGTCTCAGCGACGATCCCAGGGTGGGTGCACCAAAAACGGCAGTCACCCAGGAAAACGTCGATGCTGTGCGCAAATTCATCATTGAAGATAGACATATGACATATCGCGAGATTGAAGCGTCCTTGAAGATCTCAAAGACCTCAATTCAAAAAATTTTACATGAAGAATTAGGAGTAAGAAAATTGGTTTCTCGTTGGATACCCCACCTAATGACTGAAGAGCAGAAAGCAGCCAGGGTTAATTGGTGTCAAAAAACGCTTGACCGTTTCAATTCCGGAAACTCAAAAAATTTGTACAGCATTGTTAGTGGTGATGAATCGTGGATTTACTGTTATGAACCAGAAAATAAATGACAGTGGACTGTTTGGGTGTTCCAATGAGAAGAAAAGCCAGCAAAAGTCATCCGTTCTCAAAGTGTTTCGAAAAAGATGGTCGCGACAATTGTGTCAAAAGCGGGTCATATTGCAACAATTCCTCTTAATGAGCAAAGAACTGTTACTGCGGATTGGTATACCACCATTTGTTTGCCAAAAGTCATAATCGACCCCGAAAGAAGAATAATTCTCCACCAAGACAATGCAAGCTCGCACACAGCCCCAAAAACAAGGCAGTATTTAACGGAAGAAAACGTGGAATTATTGGACCATCCTCCATATAGTCCCGATGTAAGTCCGAACTTTCCTGAAAATTAAAAACAGACTGCGTAGTCAAAGGTTCCAGTCACCAGAAGAAGCAGTTAACGCATTCAAAAATGCCGTTTTGGATCTGCCAGCAAACGAGTGGAATAAGTGCTTCGAAAATTGGTT